AGTAAAACATTGATCAAAATGAATCAAATTAATACATTCTAAAGAATTATTAAAGGTTTGAGATACTAAAATGGCATTAAAGTAGATGGCAAGCAAACCTCTCTGAAATGAGCATTTAGAAACTGATGAACCAGTGCCAAAAATATCCATTATACTCTGAATTTTTTCCTATTCAGCATGTGGCTATATCTGGCATCCAGAAACAACTATTAAGGAGGAACAGGGTGGATTTATTTCCAAATTTATTTCCAAATAAACATAAAGAATCATACTATATTTCAGAGAACTATATTAACAATGCATTTTTCAAAGGAGTTTTCCCTTCTATGTACTTTTTTCATTGCATCATCTCTTCTTCTTCAAAGAAATTCAACAATGTTGACTGGTTGGTTATATTCCTTTACAGACATTACTCCAAGAGAGAAGAAAGGATACAGCTTTGCAAAACAATTGATGGAAAATGTGTACAGTTTCTTTTTGCTATGGACATCATAAAAAGAAAGTCTTTTGTCTGCTGACATATCTAGGAATATCCCTATTCTTGTAGGTTTTCCAGTCACTTCCAGAAGGGTCCATGGGTCTGTCCAAGCATAGTAATCTCTCCTATCTCCAAGCCCTATGACCCAATACCCATTTTGAGGAGACAATGTGGTTGTCTCTTTTCTACAAATTGATTCAGATGCAACTCCTAAGTACCATTTATTTTTCTGGCTAACATCTACTTCCCAGTAATATTTTCCTTTGGAATATCCCTGTGTTGCCAGTAAACCCATGTGATGAGGAATGTCCTCACTGTTAGAAAACTTAGAAATATCTCCTGTGTCTATCACACTTTTTCCAGCTTCAAACACTTCCAGTCTTGGATGAGCGGTCTTGGAGTCAAAGGTTACATCAACTGCAAAGGGGAGACATTATATCACAAAGAAGCAGACCTAAGCGTGGGTTTATATTCTGTAAAGAAATCTATGAACCTTGGTGAATTGCATCCATATCTTTAGTTAGATCTACCATGGCGATAGTACAGGATACAACTTTTTAGGAATACTAAACACATCTTATTTCAAAGAGTATGCCTTTGCCATTGAATGGATAATTCCTGGAGCCTTCCCCAATGAATTTCATAGCAAGTTAAGGTTTATCTCTCTGAGGTTTTAAAGGGATGATCCAGACATTTTTTTGCCATCCAGAATGAGGAAAATCCAGAAATATTTTCCTCAGCCAGTACTTGGATCACAAAATACAATTTGCTATTGCAGAAGGTTAATTTGCTACCATTATTCATCACATATTTTCTGCATCTTTATGTGTGTCTTATCATCTTTCCAGTTCAGGATCTTATGTACAGCAGTAAACGTGATTTCTACTAGACTCTTAGTTGAGTCATATTGAAATGTCCTTTAAAAGCTCAATAGCATCAGTCTCAAATTAGAATCTTAAAAGTAACTATGCTAAGGTTCAATTTTATTTTGGTATATGATGTTATCCCTCACTTACTGTCTCTTTTTCTGGTACTGTACCATCTTCAATAAGGGGTGTGCTGATATGATATTTTGCCTCTTACTTACTCAGAAGCCGAGTTATTCTCAGAATTTCTAACGTTGTCCTGCATTACTCCAAAGATAGGACATGCAGGTATTCCATTAACAACTGCAGTGGTGCAGTTAAATACATAATATTTAATGCAGATTTAACAGATTATTTCCTTTCCATTTAAACAGCACTTGTTGTCCTTTAACCCTGACCAATCATTCCAGGTTTTGTAATTGCATTTACATTCTTGATATGTAACTCTTCTTCAATTATTGAACACATTATACGGTTGGTCTCTCTTTTTTAACCTAACTAACATTTTAGTTTAGTTTAAATAAGCCTAGGACATTCATTCAATCCAGTTTCTTTTTGAAAGCCTTTGTTCTCACCTCTATAGAAACGGGCATCAGAGAATTCTGTGAAAAAAGCTGTGAAGAGAAAAGTTTAATGTGAGCAAGGAAGATTCCTGTAAATTCAGGTAATAACAAGCAATACAGAAACAAGATGTTCAAATAGAAATTACTGAGGTAACAATATGATGATTTCCATTATAAACATAACAATTAAAAAAGTTTTTTTTTGTTTAAAAGCCCAATATTTCCCCCATAAACTGAAATTATTATTACTATTACTATTACTATTACTATTACTATTACTATTAC